CCTCTTTTAATAGAGTAGTGATAATCGAATTGGATTTTGAACTGATCCCAATTTTCCTGGTCAGTCTAGTTAGGTGCTCGCATTATCGTTGTAAATACGTTCTCATGGTGGATGTGGACTACCAGCTGTCTCCCCCATTCTATACGCTACAAGAAATTATGGCATTCGTTGTTGGACTGATGTCTCTAATTTCAACCAGGTATCCACCACTTGTACCGTGTCTGTTGCGTTGTGAGATTATAAAATGATCATGATTGCGTGAACACAAACAACTCAAAACTTCAATCCTTTTCTTTTATATCACTATCAGAGTAAAAAATGACAGCTTAAAATACTACTCATTTTGCTGGTTTTATGAAACTTCTGAAGTTAGGTGCATAGAGGGAGAGACAAGCTCTTCTCGAGTTTATGCAAGGCCTTATAGACGACAATTACGTACTCTCAACGTGGGGAAGTGAAGAAGATAAAAAGGAATTCTGCAAATGGAACTATGTCGAGTGTAGCAACACAACTGGTCACGTAATCAGCCTTGATATACCTCCTCGGTTAAATCATAAATGGAGGCAATATTAGTCCAGCATTGCATGAGTTGCAACACTTGAATTATTTGGACCTCAGTGGCAACAATTTGAGAGTCGATAATCTTGAGTGGCTTTCTCATCTTTCCTTGTTAAAATATCTTGGCTAACAAACAACTGGTTGCACCCAATAACAAAGCTCTCTTTCCTTGACGAACTGCACTTGTCGGATTGTCAACTTCACAATACTCTGCCTGCCTCTGATACATTTGCAAATTCTTCTCTGTCCTCTCTTTCTGTCCTCAATCTATCTGAGAATGATCTCACTTCCTTTTCCAAATACCACTTGTTTTTTTAACTTAAGTGCACGTCTTACTTGCACAGACATTTCCAATAACCAACTTGAACGTCTTTGTTGGATATCGGGCTCAATCAACCAAGATATCCAGGCTCAGAAACAACCAAAATCGACACCAAACGCGCAAAGGCTCGTCCCAATACTTCCCTCCACCGGTTGCCTCAAGTTTCACTCTTATATTAACCCACAAAA